AACGGCCGGGCAGCTAGACCGCAAGCTGTCCCTGTGCTGTGCCTGGGCAGTACCTGGCACAGCGGGGCCCTGATCTCGGGCCGTTCTAGAGAGAACAATGCGCCCACCGCTGAGAAACCCGCATCCCCAAATACCCGTCTAGCCGGGCATCGCCGTATTCCAGCCACGTGCCATCCTTTCCCTGGGCCTCTGTGGTTCTTGTGTGTCACTGGGTTTGGGTTTAGTGCTTTGAAACTCTTACAGCGCCCTGCCCGGTTTGTCAACTGACCCCTTCTGTGTTCTCTGCCACGGGCTGGTTTGTTAGGTCTGACAGCCACTGCCCCATCCTCGAGTCCCGTGCCGGCGGGCATCGCCGTATTCCAGCCACGTGCCATCCTTTCCCTGGGCCTCTGTGGTTCTTGTGTGTCACTGGGTTTGGGTTTAGTGCTTTGAAACTCTTACAGCGCCCTGCCCGGTTTGTCAACTGACCCCTTCTGTGTTCTCTGCCACGGGCTGGTTTGTTAGGTCTGACAGCCACTGCCCCATCCTCGAGTCCCGTGCCGGGGACCAGCCATTCCTTGGCCATGGTGCTGGGCTTTGCCGGGGCAACCGCCACCCTGGGGCTAGTCCTGTATTTCTTGGTGGTTATCCGGAAAAGACGGATGGAAACCAAGTTTGGGTAAGTCCCAGAAGCTACCGCCGTGGTGGCAGGCAGGGAACGCCTTGTGTGGGCTTAGCCGGCGGCACTGGGGCGGGGCAGACGCGTGCTGGCCAGGGGGGGGGGAGGCAGGAGGCATTGTGCCTCCGGTTTTACATAACCCTTCACCTCTCCCATACTCAGGGCCTGGCCCTGTCACCACCTTCCCTGCACCTTGCGAGGCCTCTCGCTGGGGAAACCTTTCTGCTCACACTTAAGCCTGTCTGCTTCACGCCTGCGTAGTTTGCTTCCGGCCAGTGTCGGGCCAGGGTTTTCTGCACACCCCCACCATTCATCAGCCGCTGCACACTTTCTCCCACTCTTTACCAGGCACCACTGAAAAAGACAAATAAAAAACCTAAAGGGTTAATACCCTGGGTCAAATCCGTGCCTAAGTCCACGGAAGGCCCAGGGTGCCCTCACAGACACATGGATCCATTTTTCCCTGTGCCACATTCCTGGGGTGACATCTCCCTCGGAAACAGTTGGGAGTCTTTCCCGAGAGGTCCGTCCTCCTCCCTCAGCATTTTGTGGGGAGTGGGAGCCTTCAGCTCTCTTGGCTTCAGCTCAGAGGCAAGAGAGAGAATATTGAGCAGCAAGCAAAGTTTTGCAAAAGGACAAGGAAACCCCCGGCTCAGCTCATGTGTTGCCTTGTAACAGTCTCCTAACTGTGGAGCAGTAACTACAGTAGACGATCTTTGTCTATTATTAGCTGATTAAATATATCCTAGAATACTCAAGGAGCTGACAGAGGAGGTATCTGAGCCATTAGCGATCATCTTTGAAAAGTCATGGAAGTCATGGAAATCGGGAGAGATTCCAGAAGACTAGAAAAGGGTAAATCTAATGCCCATCTGTAAAAAGGGAAATAAGAACAACCCAGGAAACTACAGATCAGTCGATTTAATTTCTATGTCAAGGAAGATGATAGACCAAGTAATTAAGGAATTAATGTGCAAACATCTGAAAGATAATAAGGTGATAGGGAACAGCCAGCATGGATTTGCAAAGAACAAATCATGTCAAACCAATCCGATAGCTTTCTTTGATAGGATAACGAGTCTTGTGAATAAAGGAGAAGCAGTGGATGTGGTATACCTAGACTTTAGTAAGGCATTTGATATAGTCTCGCATGACTACCTTATCAATAAACTAGGCAAAATACAACTTAGATGGGGCTACTATAAGGTGGGTGTATAACCGGTTGGATAACCGTTCTCAGAGAGGAGTTATTAACAGTTCACAGTCATGCTGGAAGGGCATAACAAGTAGGGTTCTGCAGGGGTCAGTTTTGGGACCGGTTCTGTTCAATATCTTCATCAATGATGTAGATATTGGGATAGAGAGTACGCTTATTAAGTTTGCAGATGATACCAAGCTGGGAGGGGTTGCAAGTACTTTGGAGGATAGGGGCAGAATTCAAAATGACCTGGACAAACTGGGTAAGTCTAATGATGAAGTTTAATAAGGACAAATGCAAAGTGCGCCACTTAGGAAGGAACAATCCATGTCACACATACAGCCGGTCCCTGAGTTGCGAACGGTCGACTTACGACCATTCGCATTTACGACCAAAGCTTCCATGGAGCGGTCGTAAAGGCGGTCCCTGAGTTACGAACGCAACCCGCGCTTACAAACAGCGCGGTCACTATGTAACTCAGTGGGGTCCGAGTTAAGAACAGATTGAGTTATGGCCAAGTGTTTGGTCCGTAACTCGTTCATAACTCGGGGAAAGGCCGTACAGAATGGGAAGTGACTGTCTAAGACGGAGAACTGCAGAAAGGGATCTAGGGGTCAGAGTGGACCACAAGGTAAATAGGAGTCAACAGTGTGACGCTGTTGCAAAAAAAGCAAACCTGATTCTGGGATGTCATAAGCAGGATATGAGAAGTCATTCTTCTGCTCTACTCTGCGCTGATTAGGCCTCAATTGGAGTACTGTGTCCAGTTCTGGGCACCACATTTTAAGAAAGATGTGGAGAAATTGGAGAGGGCCGGAGAAGAGCAACAAAAATGATGCAAGTTCTAGAGAACGTGAGCTGTGAGGGAGACTGAAAGAAGTGGGCTTGTTTAGGTTAGAAAAGAGAAGACTGAGAGGGGAAATGAGAGCAGTTTTCAAGTATAGAAGAGTGTTACAAGGAGGAGGGGAAAAAATTGTTCATCTTGGCCTCTGAAGAAAGGACAAGAAGCAATTGGCTTAAAATGCAGCAAGGTTTAGGTTGGACATTAGGAAAAACTTCCTACCTGTCAGGGTGGTTAAACACTGGAATAAATTGCCTGGGGAGGTTGTGGAATCTCCATCATTGGAGATATTTAAGAGCAGGTTGGACAGACGCCTGTCAGGGAGGATCTAGACAGTGCTTGGTCCTGCCGTGAGGGCAGGGGGCTGGACTTGACGACTTCTCAAGGTCCTTTCCACTCCTAGTATTCTTTGATTATGCAGTCATAATTTTCTTTGCAATTTATATGGCATCATCAGAATTGGAAACGTCTTTATAAACCCAGCGTTACGGGGCTCCGGTGAGCTACCTCGCTCTCACCAGGAGAGCAGTAAATACTCATCAAGATTATTTTGTCTCGCTTTAACCAAGCAAACCCAGGGAGCTGGGCTGGGGATTTGGTTTTTTCGCTAAATACTCATCAAGATTATTTTGTCTCGCTTTAACAAAGCAAACCCAAGGAGCTGGGCTGGGGATTTGGTCTTTTCATGTGTTTGTTTTTGTTTCTATCTAAAAGCCGGCTGCATGTGAAATCCGCATTTGGCGGCCTGGGCTCGTGCCGGGGGCGAGCGCTCTTTGCTCACTGCAGATGTTGCTGTTGCAAAGAAAGAATCTGATTCTGACAAAAGCGGCGCAGTGCAGCCAGACTACAGAAGAGCAAGACCCGGGGTGTCCGGATTGGTGGGCTGGGCCGCTTGCTTGCACAGCCCTGCTGAGACACGCGCAGCACCCTGCTTCTAGCCCTTCGCCTGGCTAAGCAGAGTGACTGCCGGCGCTGCAGTGCTGGTGGCCTTTTATAGCGAGGACAGTGGTCCATTATTGCAGCTTGCATTCCTCCTGTGACCTTCCGCGCCGAGTTCCAACCCGGCACTGAGTTTGAAAACAACGTGATTCTTTCCAGTCAAAGCGGCGCCTTTCGCGTGTGCGCTGCTGTGTGTCTGGGGATCCAGCCGCGCCGGGATCTTCTTGTAACGGGCTGTTTGTCTTAGTGCCGCTGCAGAAGCTCCTCTTGCAGGACACTGGTCACTGCAGCTTTCAACACCGAAACCAAGCTGGGGTCCGTTTGGGAGCGTAGCCCTGCAGTCCAAGAGTGCAAAACCGGATAAATGTACGCGCTTTCCCAGGGCGTTACGCTGGGACCAGTCTGGCAAATGGGGCTGTGTCTGGAACCCATCTGCCTACTGGTCGAACCTCCTGTCTCCTCCCTCACACGCCTGTTTGAGTAACACAGGTTAATCGGCACGTGGGCTTTCCCTGACACGTGGTCCTGCAAGACGTCCTTCAGGTTTCACTGCCGGCTACAGTACACGTCCGGCAGATTCCATGGCACATTTCAGCCTCCTGCCTGGTGGTGTAACTGTGCGGGTCCTGGCACAAAAAAGGTTGGGGGGCACAAGGCTATTGAGGGGGTCATGCTGCTGGTGGGGGCGCTGCCCTCCCCCCCACATCGCGCCACCCTCACTTCTGAGAGGCTGCTGGTGGCAGCGCTGCCTTCAGAGCTGGGTTTCCAGCCAGCAGCCGCTGCTCAGAAAGCAGCACAGAAGCAAGGGTGGCAATAGCACAACCCCTCTGCGACTGCCAAATTCCCCGGGGAGCCAGAGTTCACAGTCTCAGACGCATATTTCACGGCCATGAATTTGGCAGGGCCCCACTCGTGTGCAGCATTTTGGGCACTGGAGCTCGCTGCTTGTCTGCTTCTGAAAGAGGAAGGGCGGGAGTTTTGAGATGATGAAACAGCTCTGCTGGCAATAGAGAAGCTCTTGGTGAGACATGACTGTGTGAGTGAACAAACACTGACCAGGGGCTCTTCCGTCTCGCACAGCGCTTGGGTTGGCCATTTTGGTTGGATTTCATCACCCGTCGTCACCTTTCATTCCTGAGACTCCAGGCCAATCCTGGAGGGTTGGCAGCCCTGCAGCCACCACCCGGGGCCAGAGCAAAAGCTTCAGTCCTAGGCCACGGGCTCAGGCCCCCTATCTGGGGTGGAGGGGCTCAAGGGGGCTCAGGCTTTGCCCCCCCGCCCCCGGGTTGTGTGGTGAATGTTGTCAGAAGCGGTCCCGTCGCAAGGCAGTTTGAGAGCCGCTGGCCAGGTACCCCCGTGGCGGGGAGACGGAGTGGGACAGGCGGGTCCCGTCGCAAGGCAGTTTGAGAGCCGCTGGCCAGGTACCCCCGTGGCGGGGAGACGGAGTGGGACAGGCGGATTCTGCAAGGGCGAGTAACCCCGGGTGGTGAATTCTCCGTCCCTGACCTTTGGCAGCCGAGAGAGCGTGGTTCGGAGACGCTCTGCTCCGGGAGCTCTCTGGGCTGTCCCCCACAGGCGCTCAGGCCAGGATATCACAGCTGGGCCACAGAAGGGACGGCGATCACAGGGCCATGCGCTCAGGCCAGCGATGGGGTGAAGGGTCTGGCGCTCCCGGCCCTTTAAATAGCCGCTGGAGCTTCGGGTGTCACGCTCCAGGCAGTGCGAAGGGCTGGCTGGAGGGAAAGGGTGGCACCATCGGGGCAGTGCTGAGGGATGGCTGCCCCCAGCCTCCCCCTCCAGTCCCTTCCCCCTTTCCCAGAGGCCTGACAGTCCTGGTCCCCTCCCCCCCCCACAGTATTATGAATACACTCTGCCGTGTGATTAGGAAAAAAAGCCATTAGTGTGGATGGGGGGGGGTCCCCCGATAACTCTGAGATTCCCGATCCAGTGCAGACGGATCGGGAATAGGACTAGTCTACGCTGGAAGGTTACCTCGGCAGCGCGGTGTCTCTCGGGGGTATGAAAAGTCACCCCCCTGCGAGGTGCAGTTCCACCGACTTCACCTCCCCGGTGCAGAGGGCAGGTAGAAACCTTCCGCCCTCAGAGAACCCTCCCATCGCGGTCGTAAGAGCTGCCTGTGCCCCGGGATCCCGTGTGGCTGTTTGAAGGGCTCTTGTGACTAAGGGGATGGTGCTGGAGACCGGGTGCCAGTCCTTTCCACCAGAGCTGTCTCAGCGAGGTGAAGGGCTTCGCCGGGGCGGCTGTAGCCCCTCAGCCCCGGAACAGAGACGAGCTGTTGTCCCCCGGCACACGTTGTGTTTCTGTCCCCATAGGAACGCTTTCTGCAGTGACCAATCGGAGCTCGCCGTCAGCTACACCGCCAAGAAGTCCTACAACCGGCGCGCCGTGGAACTGACCCGTAAGATCTGCCTGTCTGTTGTAGGGGCTGCCCTCGCTGGGGACTTGGGCGGGGGGGCTGACTGCGAAACACCATTAACGGGGCCCGATCCTGGCCCGGCCGGTGTCTCCTAGTGCTGGTCCCACACACAGAATAGTACAAAAATGGCGCAACCGGCCTCGTGGGGATTCTCCTGCCCCCGGAGGGGATGGGGGCCCCTGACTCCAGCAGGCGCCGTGGCTGGACAAAGCCAGGCTGAGCACATGGGAGCTGCACTCGCTCCACCCCTGGGGCCAGGCCTTTGCCCTGGGGGCTGGCGCGTTGGGGGGCAGCTTCCTCCTTAGCTGCCCTGGAGGGCTGAGAGACGCGGTTCCGCCCTCACCCCCGGGCACCGGGGCAGGATTTGGCCCCGAAGGTGCCTGTGCGGCTTTGCTGCCGGTGGCGCCCGTCCCAGGCTGAGCACATGGGAGCTGCACTCGCTCCACCCCTGGGGCCAGGCCTTTGCCCTGGGGGCTGGCGCGTTGGGGGGCAGCTTCCTCCTTAGCTGCCCTGGAGGGCTGAGAGACGCGGTTCCGCCCTCACCCCCGGGCACCGGGGCAGGATTTGGCCCCGAAGGTGCCTGTGCGGCTTTGCTGCCGGTGGCGCCCGTCCCCTCGCCCCCGGGCACCGGGGCAGCATTTGGCCCCGAAGGTGCCTGTGCGGCTTTGCTGCCGGTGACGCCCGTCCTGGGTCTGCAGCACCCGGCTCACCCCGGGCCTCTCTTGCAGTGGCCAGCCTGGGCGTCAGCCAGGAGCTGCAGCAGAAGCTCCAGGACATTGTGATCGACAGGGATTCGCTGGCCCTGGGGAAGATCCTGGGAGAGGGTGAGTGGTGCTGAGTGCTGCGGGGCACGGGGGCGTGGCTGGACGCGGCGCTGAATCTCCGTCTTTTAGCTGGCCCCAGGGCTCTGCACGTTTCCCTGCACCCTCCCCAGCCCAGCGCCTGGTGGGGAGGCAGTGTGGCCTAGCGGACAAGGCACTGGGCCGGGATTCAGGAGACCTGCGTCCTCTGCTTGGTTCTGCCGCTGACTTGGAGCAAGTCCCATCGTGCTCTGTGCCTCAGTTTCCCTTCCCACCCTCGTCTAAGTTGCGAGCACTTTGGAGCAGGGGCGGCCTTTCGCTCTGCGTCTGTTCCGCTTGCGCACGAAAGGGCCCTGATCTCTAGGACGGGAGGGCAGTGAGGGCTGGCGTATGCTCAGGAACAGTGCCCCAGCTCGCCTGCCCTGGAAAGGGGGAGGCAGAATGCCTGCCCCAGAGCTTCCCCCACTGGGAGCCAGGCTGGTGCTACATTGCACACAGCGGGGGGGTGGGTGGCCTAAGACTGAGGCGAGAGGTGGGGAACAGAGGCTCTGTGCTGCAGCTGGAGCTGGGCGTGGGGGGTGGAAGCCGTACCCAGCGGCTCCAGCCTTTCCTCCACGGGGCTGGCAAGCAGCTGGAGTCTGCCTGGCGTGCAGGTGGGGCTGGCATCCTCCAGGGGGCCATTCCGTTCTCCCCTGCGCCGCCTGCTGGGCGAGGGCGGAGCCAGCCGCAGCGGCCGGTGTGTATCACGCACCATGCGCCGTCCCTGCTCTGTGTGGAGTGAGCCCCGCACAGCATGGGCCAGGTTTGCTCTTCCTCCCCCGGTGTTGCTCGGGCTGCGGCTGCGCGGCAGGGCGGTGCCCTGGGGCTGTGGGCAAAGGCAGACGGTTCCTTCTCTCCCACGGCCCAGGAGAGTTCGGGTCGGTGATGGAGGGGCGCCTCAGCCTGGCTAGCGACACCGTGGAGAAAGTGGCCGTGAAAACCATGAAGCGTAAGTAGCGGCGCTGGCTGTGAGGCCTAGCGGTGTTTGCTTGTGTTGCACAATTTCCCACGTGCCGGGACAGAGACTTTGTCTACACTGCCAAGTGAACGACAAACGTTGTGTCATTCTCAGGTGCTTAGACCATCCGCCTGCTGCCCAAAAGGCGTCCGTTTTGCCGTGGCACGTGGCAGTGCAAACAGCGTGTTGTGGGCAGGCACACTTCTGTCGACAACGCAAAGCCCCCTCGGAGAAGGGGGAGGAATTTTGTTGGCAAAAGTGCCAACAAACAGCGTGGGCACGGCCTGACTTTGCCGGGGCCATGTCGACGCGGCTGTGTTGGTAAAAGCTGTGTCTAGCCTGCCTGGGGCTACGGGGGAATGGACCGGTCACATGGCTTCTAGAAACTGCGTTTTCAGGCAGGGTTGTCAGCCGCAGTTAAGCAACAATGGCTCAGGTTCAGGGTGTCTTACGGGGGTCAGCGAGCAAGCAGAGACGATAAGGGCCTTCATCCCCCAGGTCTGTGTCCGACGAGCGCGCTGAGGAAGCAGGGCCCGATGGGAGATATGTGCAGTGCACCAGCCCTGTGTGTCCGTGCCTGTCTAGACACGTGCACCTTAGCCACGTCAGCCGGTCAGATCGCTGGAACACGCACTCAGCCAGCCCTGGCCAAAGAAAATTCAGGCCAAGCGACCAAGCGAAAGGGTCTGTTCTCTCTGGGGGGCAGGGAGCTGCTGGATGGGGGCTGGGGATTCCCATCCACTTCCTCATTGCTGCATGAGTGGAGAATTCTCTCGCTTTCTTCCAGATTTCATCTGGAGCTTCATTTATTGTCTGCATTACTGTAATGTCCCCCGTTTCTCTCTCTTGTTTGCTGCATCCGACCGTTGGGCAGGTCATTTTAGCCCCCAGGCGCTTTGCTTTTCTGCAGAATTTCAGGTTAGTGTTTGCTTCCCACCCCACGGCAACGTGAAAACCCGCCGCTTGCTTGAAATGCCGGGCTTGCAGATCGGCTGTGGAAGTGGGGCTGTGGCCATCCCGTCAGCTAAGCATTTCGGGTGTGTTTTGTGGGCAAGAACGCTGGGAAAATCTCGCTGTGCGTGCTGCGTCTCTTCCCAGCTTCCCCCCAGAGCCAGCCCCTGGGCTCATGTGTCTGTTGTAGATGAATTGGCACCCCCCGCTTCCCAAGTCAGCCCAGGAGAAAGCAAATTGCCAGCAGTTTTACAAGCCACGCTCTAGCCCGTGTTTCTCAGCCAGTGGTACGAGTCCCCTCGGGTACTGGAGAGACATTGGGGGAACGTCAACACCACTGAAATTTGGAAAAAACTGAATTTTTGTTTTATATTTTCCAGCACTTTATTATTTTTGTAATTTTTACACCCAAAAATTTCATTGCCCGCCCGGCTACGCTAAGTTATTTAAACAAATGTGTTGCAACATTAGAACAAAATGTTGTGTGTCTGAAAACTGTAGGTCCTGGGGGTACTTATCATTTTTTTAAAGGGGTACTTTATAAAAAAAAAAAAAAAAAAGTTGAGAAACACTGGTCTGTGTACTGAGGGCTGCATGGTAGATGTCGCACACAGCCCTGGTGGTGCGCCCCCTGCTGGCTGCTCTCCAGGCTGCTGCGATGGGTCCCACACACCAGACCTCTGTGGAGCTGGACTCTTCAGGGAGCCAGGCCACTGGAAGCAGCCCGACCCACGGCTGGACCTTACTGAACACTCGTGCTCTCAGCCTGGCTAGTACAGAAGAGAGACCCAGAGAGGCCTCTAACCGTTTTCCTGACTCCCTTTCCCCACCACTCCGGAACGCTGTCTGGCTTAGCTCAGGGGTGGGCTGCCTCCAAGGTCTGTCTGTGGGCAGGGCCAGATCCCTAGGGAAGGTGGAAAATTCCTCTGCTCTGCCCAGCCCTTAAGGGAGCTTGGCTCTCAGAAAGTCACGATTCCAGGGCGAGGCGAGGGTGCTGCTTCCAAGCTGGCCAGTGTCTGCCCTGGCATGCTGTATGCAAGGTGCCAGGAGGGCACTGGGGCGGTTGTGGCATGCTTCCAGCCGTGCCATGCATGGCCTGCATTACCAGGTCACTGGCTGCACAGCCACCCGTGTGCATAGCCAGAAATCCCCAGCCACAGCGAAAAAACCCAGCAAACCGCAGCTCTGGACTGGTAGCCCACAAGGCAATAGTAAAAGCGGCCAGGCCAGTCAAAAACGAGCCATGGGGCACTGGCAACCCCATCAGGGAGTCGGGATTCTCCTCCCGCTTATGGGCTTTGTGTCTCTACTGTGCAGCCAGCTTCTGTCTTGCTCTGCTGGTCCCGCAGTGAAATCAAGACGCATGCCCGCCCTGGACGCATGCCCCCTCTCCTGCTGTGTCCGTGAGTGCTGTGTTTCCCTGCTTCTCAGCCCGGGTGCTTGGAAGGTCTGGACCCACACTGTGTTGCTCTGTTCTGTTCTGGAGATTTTCCACGCACCAGGTCCCAGTGTCCCCGAGCCCTCCGCCATCTGTCTGAGTCTGCATGCCCTTGATGACTGGCTCTTTGAAAGAGACCAGGTGGGGGAGTTACCACGTCTTGCTGGACTGCCTTCTGTGGGGGAGAGACGCGCTCCCGAGCCGAGCGAGCGCTTCCTCGGGTTCTCGGCTGACCCCAAGAGCTGTGCATACGCGCAGGGGCTCGTGTCTGCCCACAGAAGTGGGCCCCAAAAGGCTCTGCCTCCCGCCCTTTCTAGCTTGTACCTGGACAGCTCCCCCCGCGGCCACAGTAGGCAGGGGAGACAGAACACAGCAGGGTCGCACAGAGGCGGGAGTGGAAAAACGCGAGCGTTCAGAGAGGAAAATGGCAGGGCCTCCCTCGGCAGATAAACCCGGCGCCTCCAGGCAGGAACGGTCCTGGAGCGCTGGTGCAGGCAATTCGGGAAATGCAATAGGCAAGGTGCCCGGCGATCACGCAGACCTTCAGCTGTGGGGATCCTGCTGCTGGAGGTCCGGGCTCAGCTGGTGCAGTGACGGCCGCACGCTGGGAGGTGGCATCGGGCGGCTGTGAGAGCGCTGGACCGACATTCCCGGCTCGTGTCTGACCCCTAACCCAACGTAACCCTTTCTCCTCCTCCCCGCCCCGCTCTGGCTGCTGCCCAGGACTGGAAGCAAAGCCAGGCAAAGCTCGCTGCAGCACAGGCCGTTCCCCGTCTCCCCTTCTCCGTTCGGTGTGGCTTTCCTGGCGGCTCTCCAGAGCAGCAGAGCCGGCGCAGCAGACGTGATTGGTGGCGCGTGTTTGACATGAGCTCCCCTGTCTGGTGTTTTCAGTGGAGAACTTTTCCCAGCGAGAGATCGAAGAGTTCCTCAGCGAGGCGGCCTGCATGAAGGACTTCGATCACCCCAACGTCATCAGACTCCTCGGTACGGGGGGAGCCCCGGGGAGGGCGGGAACTTCCCACTGGATTAGCCAGAGCCTAGGGGGTACCCCTCTCCGACCGGCCTTGCCCATCTGCGTCTCGTGGCTTGCTCTCCCGACACGCCTGGGTTTCTGACAGGCGCGTGCTGCATGACGGCGCGTTTGCATTCCCGCAGGAGGCAGCAATCTGGATGGGCTGCTGCACGGAGCAGACCCCTAGAACGGTGGAGGCGCAATACACAGAGCATCAGCGCAGAGCTGCTCTCTAGCTGCCACCCCCGGGCCCAGACTCCTGTACCCACAGGCAGCTCCATCAGCCCTCCAGCTCCCCACCTGGACGGTCTCTGAGCCCTCCTAGATCCCAGCTCTGGATGGGCGTCGGCTGGGCCCTGGCGCGGGAGGCTCATCTTCCGTTCATTCCAGGTGTGTGCCTAGAGCTGAGCTCCCGGCAGATCCCGAAGCCCATGGTGATTCTCCCATTCATGAAATACGGCGACCTGCACAGCTTCCTGCTGCACTCGCGGCTGGAAACGGGCCCCCAGGTAACGCACAGCTGGCCAGGGACTCGGGGAGGGACTCCAGGGGGCGCTGAGCCAGATTGGATTCGGCATTTAACTCCACTTCCTTGCACTGAACCGCGACAGAACTCTGGCTCTGACCCTCCTCCCTGTCCTCGTGGGAAGAATTCCTGGCCCCTGTGAAATGAGTGGGAGCGAAGCCATTGATGGGGGCCAGGACTTGGCTCCCTCGGGCTCCGCAGGGAGAAGCGCTTGTAGTGTCCCTGCAGACGGCTGAGACGCTGGGGGAGGCGGCAGCGGAGTGACTGGGCACACGGAGCGTCTGAGCTTTTCATGGGTTGTGACAAATAAAAGCAGAGCTGGGCTTCTGCGTAAGAACCGAGCAGAGGGAGGGGGGTTAACGAGCGTCCGCGTCCGCGTGAATGCTACGCGCTCGCATGGCTCCTGACTCTCCAGTGCCCTTTGCATTCCCGCACAATGCTACCAAATGGAAGAGGAGGGGCTTGCAGGCATGTTCCCGGGGTGGGAATGTCTGCCCCAGGGCCCGCCCCGGCTGGGTGAGAACCGGCGCGGAAGGCACTGCTGGGTTAAAGCTCAGGGATGCGTCTGTTTCTCACAAAGCGAAATTCCCGCTCCTGTTTTTCTCTGTAAACTCCAGAGAGGCTGACAAATCAGAGGGAAATGCCTTTGAGCAAAGAGACCGGGCGCCCGAGAGGGACGACTCTGATGATAAGATTTGTTCACGAGTAGAAGGCAGCAAAAAATAGCCCATAGGGTGCCTGTGGGGCTGGCCCATCCCTGCAGCGAGAAACCCCCCGATCTGCCATGCTGCAGTCAGAGCTGCGGGCGCTTTGCCGTTGGCTCTCGGAGCGGAACTTCAACCGCCTGGCAGGGAAAGCCACCGCCTCCCCCCAGCTGTGTTAACACGGAGTCCAGCACCCAGACGCCCCTTGACTCGGGCCTCCGGGCGGGCTCGGGGACGGGGCTTGGTTTTCTTCCAGCAATGGGATGTTGCTTTGCTGTCATAGCAATCGCACTAGCCTGACAGAGGCAGCTTCCCCTTGTTTCTAAACTACCCGATTGTTTCCCTGTGTTCCCAACAAAACCGGCCCTGTTGTGTTGGGAGTTAACCCCTCCGGAGCCCCAGTTGGACACCACCCAACGCGGAGAATCTAGCAGCGGTGAGCGAGCGGCACTGCGTGTGCTGTTCCCGTTGGGCGGTGCTGAAATTGTTCCATTTGAGTCTCGCAGAGACTTCGACACGAAACCGACCTGCTTTGCCAGGCTGCTCCGAACAATGTGGCATTTCAGCACTCCCACCGCGAGCAGGTCTGCTTGGGCCGCGGCCCACGGGAGAGCTCGGCGTGTCGTTATGCGCTGATCAAAGGGAGCCTTGTTCGACTGGCCGCCGTGGAGAAATGGCAAATGCGTTTCTCGTTCCCCCGGACTTTTCCAGCACCAGGACACGGGGCCTGGCCTTTAGCGGCTCTGCCGAGGGTTTCAAGAGGCCTTAACTCTTGTGGGGCTAAATGGGAGTTGCTGGTGTCCTCTGGCAGCAGCGTGCCTGTAAAGTTCCAGCCTTCGCATGCTTCCTGTACGTTCTGACCTGCTGCCTCTCTTCCCAGCAGGTGCCGCTGCAGACCTTGCTGAAGTTCATGGTCGATATCGCGCTAGGGATGGAGTACCTGAGCGCACGGCATTTTCTCCATCGAGATTTAGCGGCTCGGAACTGCATGTGAGTTGGGTTTCTCTGTTTCAGAGCGGATAGGCAGATGCCGGGCTGGGCAGCCTCTCCGTGGTGTTACTGATGTACTCGCATTAAAAACAAACCTTGTGACTCGCCTGTAAAATCTCCTGGGTCTTGAGAAACACCCAAGTGAGGACCGGTCATGTTGGAGTTTAGAACGCGGTTTGTCCGATTTGTTCAGCCAATTTTCCCTGGAACAGTGGTAGGCGAAAGGAAGCCCTAGTACCTGTCCAACTCACAGAGGTCCCCTCTGGTCTTAATGGCTATGATGGGGGGACGAGGTACTCTGCCAGCTGTTCCACTTTAAATCATGGTACATTTACTCTAGTAAGAAATAACATGGGGGTGTGCTTGAAGGCCCTGATCCTGGAGATGTGTGAGTAAATTTATACTGTAAGGAACCCAAGTGTCTTTCAGCAGTTACAGGAGTATTTTCTTGTAACCATTGACAGGTTACGGGACGACATGACTGTGTGTGTTGCGGACTTTGGCTTGTCGAAGAAGATCTATAGCGGGGATTACTACCGCCAGGGGCGCATTGCCAAAATGCCTGTCAAGTGGATTGCAATCGAGAGCCTGGCTGATCGGGTGTACACGACCAAGAGTGACGTGGTAGGTTCACCAGGTGCACCCTCACATCAGAACTCTGGTCCACAGTAAAAGTGTGTCATTCCACAGTCGCTTCAGAAATTCACAGTGGGAACGCTGATCGTGCCGAGTGTTTGTAACTGGGACTAGCCATCTCCTTTTCAGATTGGATTGTTTTAATCGGCCTGTTTTGTTTTGGGGGTGTCACCTGCGTTAGCACTGCTCGTTTTGCATCCTGAAAACGGAAAAGCCGAATAAGTGACAGATGAGGATTTGACAGTAAACCCAGCCACATTGATAACTGGTGCCTTTATTTCTCTCTGCTTGTAAAAGCGCCTGGATTGTGTTTCTCGAGCTCTTGCCAGACATTGCATGTTATTTCCAACTTGGAAACTTATTCACACTACACATATAATTATCAACATTAGGCAAGATCCCGATGGACTTTAGGAAATGACCTTTCCCAGTGAAAAGACTCATTCAGTCCTTCTGGAAATGTCATCTTAATAGGCTTCCCCTTTGTTCTTTGTAGTGGGCGTTTGGCATCACAATGTGGGAGATAGCCACCCGAGGGATGACTCCCTATCCAGGCGTGCAGAACCATGAAATCTATGACTACCTCCTTTATGGTCACCGGTTGAAACAGCCAGAGGACTGCTTAGATGAGCTGTAAGTATCTGTGCTGACCCCGGGTTTTGTACATTCACAGGTGGGTGGGGAGTCACTGTTCACAGGAACATGGTGGCACGTGACAATCTCAGCTATTGCAATAACACGCAGACTATCAGTGTGTATCCTACCTCAGCTGCTGATTCCTCGCTGTGCAGCGGATGTTGCGCTCTTCTGTTTTTATGGCTCCCTGTAGCTAAATGGACATAGCCACTAATGGCTAGCATGGCTGTGGGGCTTAGCTTTCAAACATGAACGTGGCTGAAATTTGGGGCGTGAAAAGACAGAATTCCATCCCTTTTCTCCTGCGGAGAATGGCAAAAGAAACATTTGGGGCCAGATTTTCAGCCACAGTAAATTGAGCTAGAATCACTGATTTCCGGGGACCTGCGCTGATTCACACGCACTAATGGCTGCATTGAACCACATCCGCCGAGAGGCCAGCTTTCAGTTTTTAGAGTTTCGGATCAGTTTTGCATCAGCCTTGAGCAAATGAGTTTTAAAATGTGAGTTTTGCACGTGGTTTTAATTGCACGTGGTTTTAGTGAACAGTGAGTTGAAAGGGACACAACGGATGTATTAGAAATGAACGTCGTAAGCAGCTTATCAAGTCAGTCTGTAACTTAATGCTTTTAACATTTTGCTTGGGCTTGACGGTGTCCTAAGAACTTTGCCAAGCCCAGTCCGGGGCCCTACCCTTGGAGTCTCGTTCCCCTCACTCGCAGGCCATGGGCTGTTGCCAGCTGTAGGGCTTCCCTGGAGTTCCAGAAGGAGCTAAGGCTGGAGGAGGAGATCTTCTGCAGGCTTGTTGAGTGCAAAATCCTGCTTCTGTAAAATGAAACTTGGCTAATAAGAGGCCAGCTCTGCTCTTGGGCTCTGTGTGCACCTCCCCGCTGAAATCAGCGCAGGCCCTGTGGACACAAGCCGCACACTCTGCCCGTGACATGTGTCAATCTGTGGAAAAGAAACGTTCCCAGGTGGGGGAGAGCTGGAGGCGTTTGAATTGCCTGGGCAGCTCGCAGAAGGTTGGTATTAAAAGCTGGCGAAGCGCCCGTCGGCTCTGAGGAATTCTTATGCTCAGTCTCAGCTCGAAATGTTTAAAACCTCGACAAACAGCTCTTTAGAAATGGCCCGATAGCGTTTCCTAAAAGGGACGTGCTCAGAGATCACAGCCAAATCCCCGAGCTCCCCCAACAGGGATTCCCTTTGCAAAGGTCTCTGCTGCTGCGGATTACTGCTCCCGCTGACGGGTGGAGGAAGAGGCCCCTCTGAGCTGTGCCCGGCACACAAGTGGGGCTTGTTCTCACTCCGTGAGTTGGTCGGGTTTCACCGGGAGGGTCAGTCGGGTGTTTCCCCACCTCTTTTGGTGCAGTTGTAACAGTTGCTTGGCAAAGGAGCCGCCTGGAGAGTGGAGCTGCTGCCAGGTTCCTGCCGTCACGGTGTGAATTCAAGCCCTCACGCTGTGGTTCGGTGGCCGTGCTATTTTAAACACACTTCCCTGAACCATTGATTTGGTTCAGCCTCTGAGAGGGCAGCCCGGGCTGCACAGCCAGGGATGAATGGTTTTAACGTACCACTGTTCATTCCCAGTTAGAGACACCCTCCCGTGTACAGTCACCCGCTGCACTGTCTCCTCTCAGGAGCACCGTGTGTACTACACCCCCGAAGACCAGTCCGCCTGTAGCGTGGCCTGCAGTGCCGCGCTCTCACTGGTGGCATCTGGCAGGACCGTTCTTAGAGTTGTGACCATATTGGAGGCTTTGAGACTTAAAAGCCTCAGGTCTGGAAAGATCCGCTGTGTGGCACTGGTGTTGGCTGCATCACTGTCGCCGTGTTGTCCGGGGGTATTAGAGAGGTGAGGGAGGAGCTAGCGGGGCTTAAGAGAAACAAACATTGACTAATAATCAATGAATGATAAAGAAATCCATGCCGTTGGGTCCCTGAGTGGCGACTACTATAGATTTGAGAGAATGTGTCTGTTTGTCTGTCCAAGAACTCCTCCTAAACAGTAAAAGCCACCAAATTTGGTATAAGTCGGGGTAGGGAACCTTTTATGGGTAAGGGGCCACTGACCCACAGAAAAATCCGTCGGGGGCTGCACACAAGGGAGAAGCATAAAAAAAAACCCTCGCTGACGTGGCCCCCAATAAGAAGCAGAAAGACCCCCCCACACACACATTCCTCTCCCACAGCAGAGCCCTGGGGGTGCAGACTAGTAGATTTTGTGTGCTCGAGCGGGGAGGCCTGAGGCAAGTGGGGGGCTGCATCCAGCCCCCAGGCCTGAGGTTCTGCACCCCTGGTAGGCAGCTGCTTCTTATCATAACTGAAAGCGAGGTCAGAGTTCGGTTGTGGCAGGACAACGGGACGTACCTGGAATGGGATCGCTGCTCTTCAAAGCAGACAGAAAAGCAACAGACTCACCAGGCAGGTGAAAGGGGCTGGCTGGGGCCCTCCAGCCCCTTGCCTTCCCCCCGGCGGTTGGGAGGGGCTGCAAGACGACCCTTTCAGGGCCGTATCGCCTTGTGTCAGATCCATTTTGTCCCCGGTGGGCTCAGCTCGGGCCTTGTCTCGCTAATGTTCCAGGACCACCACGGCGCTGCGTAGGACAGTTGCAGTCGTGTTGGAAGATAAATGGTGAGGAGCCGTGGTCCTTTTCCTCATTAGTCTTCATAACCGAAAGCCTCTCCTTCAGCAGAGCCAGGACGAAAGGATGTTCTCGTTCACGCACGGCCGTCCTGTGCGTCGTTCAGCGCCGTTAGGGAACAGGGCAGCTTCCTGAACATCTGTTCTCTTCCCTTATGCTTCCAGGTACGAAATAATGTTCGCCTGCTGGAGAGCAGATCCCCACGATCGGCCGGCATTCCCCGAGCTCAGACTCCGCCTGGAGAAGCTATCGGAAAGTTTGCCCAGCGCGAGGGGATCCGAAGACGTTATTTATATCAACACGAGCTTGCCAGAGGAGAGCGAGGCGCTGACGGAAGAGTCCGGATTCCCTCAGATAGACCTGGCTCTTGAGCCCTGCTACGTAATCGCAGAGTCCTTTTCCCCCAAGCCAGACGCCACGGTTGTCACCGTGGACGTCCATCAAAGCAGGCAGCAGGAGGAAAGGTATGTCCTAAAGGCGGTGACGGATGAACAGACTGCCAGCTCCGTGCCTCTGGAGGAGGGGTGCACGCCTCTTCTGCAGGGCACCGGCGCCCAGAACGGCATCACGTGGTTACCGGCCAACATGCTGCTGGGCAGCTCGTTAGCAGACGAACTGCTGTATGCAGATGACTCTTCTGAGGACTCTGAAATTCTGCTGTGAAAGGAGAACAGGAGAAATGAGCTAGTGGGGACCAGCAGTTTGCAGCGGAGGTTTCGCTCGGCGTATTTGTGTCTTGCGGAAGTACCATTACAGGGTGGCTGGGCCAGTCGAGCTGTCTGGCAAGTGGCTATGGAAACACAAGCTATCTGAACTTGTACAAAGTGGTGCCGTAGCAGCTCGCGCTCTCCGCCACCGCGCCTCTTGCTGGTCGATCCGGGAATTCGCTCTTCTCCAGCTTCCCAGCCCCTTTCCTGGCCAGTGTCTCGCCTCTCTGCCCTTATCTGCAATTCTCCAGGTTCTCCACCACGTGGTGCCCCTTCCCGTGGGTACTGCCACGTGGCAGTGTCCATGATCTGGGGTCCTCCCCTCCCAGGGAACCCCATTACCCCTAAACCGCCACTTGCCTCAGTGCCCCACTGCCATTTATCTAGCCCCTTCCCTCAGGGGCAAACTGCAATCTGAAGGGGTCGCTTTATCATTGACCAGCATGGTTGGACCTGCTGCCATTCCTGCCTGGCTGCCCCGTACCTCCCCAGGCTCCCGTCGCTGGGCCTCAGCCTGGGGGTTATTCAGGGTTATTCAGAGCTCCCCAGCTTGGCCTGCCTTTCCCCCGTACCCGTAGCTAGTAGGCAGCTAGATCCATCTCGCTCCTCAGCAGGGCTGAGACTGAGCTCCCTTTACCTGGCTAGCCTCCTTAGGTGTCTAACCGGGCCCTGATTGGCTGTTCCGAGCCTTTTCCCAATTGGCTCCCAGCCTCAGCCCTCCCCCCAAGGCTTTTTTAACCCTTTTTGTGCCAGTGTAGGGCAACTGCCCCATCACATTTGTCTGTGTCAGGGGTCTGCAACCTAGGGCTCTAGAGCCAACTATGGCTCAGTACGGAACCAAACATGGCTCTTCTGTCATTCCCAAAATACACACAACTTTTTAAATTACAATGAAAAATGAATTCACGTTTTTAAAAACATGTAATTACTCATGTCAAGATGATTTATTTGTATCAATTTCATCTTTAAGTGTTTGTTTTAACAACCATCCATCCTCTCTGCTCATTGGAGGTTGTGCATATTCTCTTTTTATTTGATTGGTCAAGAAATCTTTCCATCATCCAACGTGATGGTGAACTCTGTAACCTCCAACAGTAAAAATGGGGAAGAAAAAGAGAGATGCTGAGTAATGAAATTTTCAGAGGGAGTGGATGGACTTGTCTGCATTTGTGGAGAGGTCTGAATTTCCACACTGTCTCATTTATAGCGAGAGACTGTTCGCAAACAAAAAACCCAAATTTAATGACAAAATATGTAGAATTTGCTACAAAATACCCCGAGGGTGACACATGAAAAAAAGCCTGCGAGAAGCTGCAGCGAAAAATGAACAGTGGACAAAATTGCCTACTGGCATGGTCAAAAAAATATGGGAGCTTAAACTCTGCAAGTTTGGGGGCTCATACAGCGTTATTCGGGAGGGGGAGCCTTTCACTGATGGGGATTATGTTAAGAGATGCATGCTAAAAATTGGTCAATTATTTGACGAGTTTCACAACAAGGACAAAATCTTACAGAAATTTCAAGACATGCCATTATCAGCAGAACCAGTTCACGACAGAGCTGTGATTAGTGACAAATTGATCAGTGACAAATGCAAAATTTGAATACAGCTACTTATTTTTCATTTGCTTTGGACAAAACAACTGACATGTGGTGTTCATCAGTTGTGTATTCTGGGATGCTATATTTGTGAAAATCTGCACACAAATAATTGAGTGAGATATTACCAATGAAAAATCAAACAAGGGGCGAAGACACCCTTAAAACTGTGATGACCTTTGTAAACGAGAAAGAAATACCGTTGGATATAATCTTGTGTCTGTGTGTATGGACAGTGCACCTAGCATTGTCGGCAAATACAGGGGATTCCTTACTCTTGTCAGAACAGTTGAACCGCCCACTTTGGAACTTTCGTTGCCTAGTGCATCAGGAGTCTCTCTGTGTGCAATTTTGTGGAACCGAACTCGGAAACGTAACAGGATTGGTCCTTCGCATTGTAAATTGGATTCTTGCTCGAGCCTTTAATCACCGTCAATTTCAGTCGCTGCTGGAGAAAGTAGATTCTGAATAACCCAATCTACTAATACACAGTTTTCACTGGTTATCTCGTACCTAAGTTTTGTCGCATTTTGCCTCCTGCATTAATGAGATTGTCATTTTTTTATATGAAGGGTGTCAAATACCCCAGCTTTCAGACTGTGAATGGTTGCTCAAGTTTTGCTATCTCGTTGACATTACTGGTCGTTTGAATGAGTTGAACCTTCAGTTACAAGGGCAAAAATATACAGTCCTGATTCTGTAGCAGGCATTGTTTGGATTGAGTCATAATTGACTGTCTTCATCAAAGATACCGAGAAGGGCAGACTGGCACATTTTGAAAAATTACTAATGTTTCGTGATTGCTCGACAATTGGCAAAACTGCACAAATTGGCAAACAAATGGGCTGACATGAAGAAATTGGAGCACGATGATAATCTGATTCTGCAAACCTGGCACAAACTTCCTGTCACATACACCACCATGCAGCCTGTCAGCGTGGCCTTATTTTCAATGTTTGGCTGCACCTACATATGTGTGTAGGCTTTCTCTCATTTGAATCACATCAAGATTGACGGAAGACTGCCTGAATGTGTGCACGAAGCTAAATTTGACCAGTTATTATGTAAACTTCAAAGAAATGTGCGGAAAGATGCAGCAGTAAATAAAGTCTTTGAGTACAATTTTTCATTTATGCTATTATTAATGATCATGGCAATTATTAGTAATACTAAGTTGTATATTTTCAGTCATGAAAATGAACATTCTTATATGGCTCTTTGTTGACCACTTTGTTCTTAATTTTGATGTCGTTTGGCTCTTGGGTTTGAAAAGGTGCTGACTCCTGGTCTGTATCAAGTTACACCAGAGAGTTTGAGGGATTATGTTTTAATAAATCACAACCTGTGATGTTCTGTTTTATTTTATTCTTCCAATAATGTCTCAGAATTGGAGTTTTCCCCTTCCCTGCGTTACACACACAGTGTTAAAACCCTGGTGTTCGTGCTCGTCTTTTGTATTAAACGCAGGAAGTGATACTGTAGTCGGATTGTTTCACCCGATAAAAACTTCTTGATGCGGGTCCCCCAAGCACTAACAATGTCAGGGCCGTAATTACCCTGCCCTCTTGTACGCAGTCAGCCCTGCCTGTGGCCTAGAGCTGCAGAACTGAGCTGGGGACTTTTTCCTTGCTGTTGTGGAAGGTGACGGGGGAAAGGGCTGTTAACAGGTTACAGCCCTGCGGAGCTGGAGCAGCTCACTCTCACACACCCCTTCACCTCCTGCATGAGTGCCAGGCAATGCAGGGGCTGTTCTGCCTGGAGGAGGCAGCCGGAGGGGCAGTGGCGGGCCATAGGGAAGGGTGGGATTGTGCAGTGAGCGCATCCCCAGCTTGCAGGCTGTTTGGTTCTTTCCTGGAGCTGCTGCCATTAGAAACCCCCTGCTGCCCACCGCACCCCAAAGCAATCTGCTTGACAGAGAGCAGCTGAGCCGTGCGCTACCAGCTGGGTGTGATCACGTGGATGTGGGACACGCTGGCCTGTGCTGTGCCCCTGATTGACGTGTTGGCAATAGAACGTTTGAGCTGTGCTGCTGATAACATCCGCACAGCTGAGCAGGGAAGTGCGGCAAGTGCAGCTCGTATTTTTCTTTTTTTAATTTTTTTTTTAAGAGCACGTGGTTAAAATCTGAAACACGGGGCTCTAAAGTTTGGCCCCTAAATACCTGTTCAGGCATCAGACTAAGTGGACGGTTTTCAGGCTCCTCCTTGCAGGTGGCCTGGAGAATCAGCATGTGCATGAGGGGAGCAGAGGCCCCCCGAAAATCAGAGCATTTATTCTTCATAGACGTGGACCTGAGGGCCAGCCTCACATCAGGCACTCACGTCTGCTGGGGTCGGATCTCGTTGTAGGCCGGGTCCAGCAGAGCCCTGTACCATGTGCGTAGTGAAACTCCAACACTGCGCTTCCAGGGAAGTCAATCGACCTTCCACACGTGTGTAACTGCTTTGCTGAATGGCAGCCTGCACGGGTGTAGACTCAATTCGACAAGGCACTTGACCCTGTGCCCACTTTTCAGCAGGTGTCGTAGCATGAATGGGAGTCGGACGTCTCACCTAATCACGGCTGAAATACCTTGCGGCACGGGGCCTCGGCGAGTTGTCCATTTGTGCTTCCTTCCCCGATCTACACGACATGGATTCGTAACGATCCCATGACAAAACGGCAATCCCCACAACATCTGCTCAGGGTATAGAGGGCTGATAAAGCAGGGATGGGGCAGCATGTGTGTTGCAAAGACTCAGTGTCTTTTCTTTACTAAAATGCCAGCCATGGCTTTGGTTCCATAGCTTTGTCCCCACCCATGGAGTCGGGCTCTTTGTGACCACGAGGTGCGATTGCTGAATCTGACCCGCAGAGTGAAAAAGGTGACACTTGCGTTGGAATTTTTGTGGTGTTGCTTCCTGGTCATATTGAAACTGTACAGCGGCTGGGGGCGGGGGGTATTTTTAGAGCACTTCTTGTTCCTTGTTAGGGATTTGTTCACAGCTCTGGACTCGATGGTCTGAGAGTGAAACCCAGTAGATGTGCAACTCAGTACGCTCTTTGACGACACACGTCTTCTTAGGGCGGTTGGGAGGGGCTGCAAGACGACCCTTTCAGGGCCGTATCGCCTTGTGTCAGATCCATTTTGTCCCCGGTGGGCTCAGCTCGGGCCTTGTCTCGCTAATGTTCCAGGACCACCACGGCGCTGCGTAGGACAGTTGCAGTCGTGTTGGAAGATAAATGGTGAGGAGCCGTGGTCCTTTTCCTCATTAGTCTTCATAACCGAAAGCCTCTCCTTCAGCAGAGCCAGGACGAAAGGATGTTCTCGTTCACGCACGGCCGTCCTGTGCGTCGTTCAGCGCCGTTAGGGAACAGGGCAGCTTCCTGAACATCTGTTCTCTTCCCTTATGCTTCCAGGTACGAAATAATGTTCGCCTGCTGGAGAGCAGATCCCCACGATCGGCCGGCATTCCCCGAGCTCAGACTCCGCCTGGAGAAGCTATCGGAAAGTTTGCCCAGCGCGAGGGGATCCGAAGACGTTATTTATATCAACACGAGCTTGCCAGAGGAGAGCGAGGCGCTGACGGAAGAGTCCGGATTCCCTCAGATAGACCTGGCTCTTGAGCCCTGCTACGTAATCGCAGAGTCCTTTTCCCCCAAGCCAGACGCCACGGTTGTCACCGTGGACGTCCATCAAAGCAGGCAGCAGGAGGAAAGGTATGTCCTAAAGGCGGTGACGGATGAACAGACTGCCAGCTCCGTGCCTCTGGAGGAGGGGTGCACGCCTCTTCTGCAGGGCACCGGCGCCCAGAACGGCATCACGTGGTTACCGGCCAACATGCTGCTGGGCAGCTCGTTAGCAGACGAACTGCTGTATGCAGATGACTCTTCTGAGGACTCTGAAATTCTGCTGTGAAAGGAGAACAGGAGAAATGAGCTAGTGGGGACCAGCAGTTTGCAGCGGAGGTTTCGCTCGGCGTATTTGTGTCTTGCGGAAGTACCATTACAGGGTGGCTGGGCCAGTCGAGCTGTCTGGCAAGTGGCTATGGAAACACAAGCTATCTGAACTTGTACAAAGTGGTGCCGTAGCAGCTCGCGCTCTCCGCCACCGCGCCTCTTGCTGGTCGATCCGGGAATTCGCTCTTCTCCAGCTTCCCAGCCCCTTTCCTGGCCAGTGTCTCGCCTCTCTGCCCTTATCTGCAATTCTCCAGGTTCTCCACCACGTGGTGCCCCTTCCCGTGGGTACTGCCACGTGGCAGTGTCCATGATCTGGGGTCCTCCCCTCCCAGGGAACCCCATTACCCCTAAACCGCCACTTGCCTCAGTGCCCCACTGCCATTTATCTAGCCCCTTCCCTCAGGGGCAAACTGCAATCTGAAGGGGTCGCTTTATCATTGACCAGCATGGTTGGACCTGCTGCCATTCCTGCCTGGCTGCCCCGTACCTCCCCAGGCTCCCGTCGCTGGGCCTCAGCCTGGGGGTTATTCAGGGTTATTCAGAGCTCCCCAGCTTGGCCTGCCTTTCCCCCGTACCCGTAGCTAGTAGGCAGCTAGATCCATCTCGCTCCTCAGCAGGGCTGAGACTGAGCTCCCTTTACCTGGCTAGCCTCCTTAGGTGTCTAACCGGGCCCTGATTGGCTGTTCCGAGCCTTTTCCCAATTGGCTCCCAGCCTCAGCCCTCCCCCCAAGGCTTTTTTAACCCTTTTTGTGCCAGTGTAGGGCAACTGCCCCATCACATTTGTCTGTGTCAGGGGTCTGCAACCTAGGGCTCTAGAGCCAACTATGGCTCAGTACGGAACCAAACATGGCTCTTCTGTCATTCCCAAAATACACACAACTTTTTAAATTACAATGAAAAATGAATTCACGTTTTTAAAAACATGTAATTACTCATGTCAAGATGATTTATTTGTATCAATTTCATCTTTAAGTGTTTGTTTTAACAACCATCCATCCTCTCTGCTCATTGGAGGTTGTGCATATTCTCTTTTTATTTGATTGGTCAAGAAATCTTTCCATCATCCAACGTGATGGTGAACTCTGTAACCTCCAACAGTAAAAATGGGGAAGAAAAAGAGAGATGCTGAGTAATGAAATTTTCAGAGGGAGTGGATGGACTTGTCTGCATTTGTGGAGAGGTCTGAATTTCCACACTGTCTCATTTATAGCGAGAGACTGTTCGCAAACAAAAAACCCAAATTTAATGACAAAATATGTAGAATTTGCTACAAAATACCCCGAGGGTGACACATGAAAAAAAGCCTGCGAGAAGCTGCAGCGAAAAATGAACAGTGGACAAAATTGCCTACTGGCATGGTCAAAAAAATATGGGAGCTTAAACTCTGCAAGTTTGGGGGCTCATACAGCGTTATTCGGGAGGGGGAGCCTTTCACTGATGGGGATTATGTTAAGAGATGCATGCTAAAAATTGGTCAATTATTTGACGAGTTTCACAACAAGGACAAAATCTTACAGAAATTTCAAGACATGCCATTATCAGCAGAACCAGTTCACGACAGAGCTGTGATTAGTGACAAATTGATCAGTGACAAATGCAAAATTTGAGTACAGCTACTTATTTTTCATTTGCTTTGGACAAAACAACTGACATGTGGTGTTCATCAGTTGTGTATTCTGGGATGCTATATTTGTGAAAATCTGCACACAAATAATTGAGTGAGATATTACCAATGAAAAATCAAACAAGGGGCGAAGACACCCTTAAAACTGTGATGACCTTTGTAAACGAGAAAGAAATACCGTTGGATATAATCTTGTGTCTGTGTGTATGGACAGTGCACCTAGCATTGTCGGCAAATACAGGGGATTCCTTACTCTTGTCAGAACAGTTGAACCGCCCACTTTGGAACTTTCGTTGCCTAGTGCATCAGGAGTCTCTCTGTGTGCAATTTTGTGGAACCGAACTCGGAAACGTAACAGGATTGGTCCTTCGCATTGTAAATTGGATTCTTGCTCGAGCCTTTAATCACCGTCAATTTCAGTCGCTGCTGGAGAAAGTAGATTCTGAATAACCCAATCTACTAATACACAGTTTTCACTGGTTATCTCGTACCTAAGTTTTGTCGCATTTTGCCTCCTGCATTAATGAGATTGTCATTTTTTTATATGAAGGGTGTCAAATACCCCAGCTTTCAGACTGTGAATGGTTGCTCAAGTTTTGCTATCTCGTTGACATTACTGGTCGTTTGAATGAGTTGAACCTTCAGTTACAAGGGCAAAAATATACAGTCCTGATTCTGTAGCAGGCATTGTTTGGATTGAGTCATAATTGACTGTCTTCATCAAAGATACCGAGAAGGGCAGACTGGCACATTTTGAAAAATTACTAATGTTTCGTGATTGCTCGACAATTGGCAAAACTGCACAAATTGGCAAACAAATGGGCTGACATGAAGAAATTGGAGCACGATGATAATCTGATTCTGCAAACCTGGCACAAACTTCCTGTCACATACACCACCATGCAGCCTGTCAGCGTGGCCTTATTTTCAATGTTTGGCTGCACCTACATATGTGTGTAGGCTTTCTCTCATTTGAATCACATCAAGATTGACGGAAGACTGCCTGAATGTGTGCACGAAGCTAAATTTGACCAGTTATTATGTAAACTTCAAAGAAATGTGCGGAAAGATGCAGCAGTAAATAAAGTCTTTGAGTACAATTTTTCATTTATGCTATTATTAATGATCATGGCAATTATTAGTAATACTAAGTTGTATATTTTCAGTCATGAAAATGAACATTCTTATATGGCTCTTTGTTGACCACTTTGTTCTTAATTTTGATGTCGTTTGGCTCTTGGGTTTGAAAAGGTGCTGACTCCTGGTCTGTATCAAGTTACACCAGAGAGTTTGAGGGATTATGTTTTAATAAATCACAACCTGTGATGTTCTGTTTTATTTTATTCTTCCAATAATGTCTCAGAATTGGAGTTTTCCCCTTCCCTGCGTTACACACACAGTGTTAAAACCCTGGTGTTCGTGCTCGTCTTTTGTATTAAACGCAGGAAGTGATACTGTAGTCGGATTGTTTCACCCGATAAAAACTTCTTGATGCGGGTCCCCCAAGCACTAACAATGTCAGGGCCGTAATTACCCTGCCCTCTTGTACGCAGTCAGCCCTGCCTGTGGCCTAGAGCTGCAGAACTGAGCTGGGGACTTTTTCCTTGCTGTTGTGGAAGGTGACGGGGGAAAGGGCTGTTAACAGGTTACAGCCCTGCGGAGCTGGAGCAGCTCACTCTCACACACCCCTTCACCTCCTGCATGAGTGCCAGGCAATGCAGGGGCTGTTCTGCCTGGAGGAGGCAGCCGGAGGGGCAGTGGCGGGCCATAGGGAAGGGTGGGATTGTGCAGTGAGCGCATCCCCAGCTTGCAGGCTGTTTGGTTCTTTCCTGGAGCTGCTGCCATTAGAAACCCCCTGCTGCCCACCGCACCCCAAAGCAATCTGCTTGACAGAGAGCAGCTGAGCCGTGCGCTACCAGCTGGGTGTGATCACGTGGATGTGGGACACGCTGGCCTGTGCTGTGCCCCTGATTGACGTGTTGGCAATAGAACGTTTGAGCTGTGCTGCTGATAACATCCGCACAGCTGAGCAGGGAAGTGCGGCAAGTGCAGCTCGTATTTTTCTTTTTTTAATTTTTTTTTTAAGAGCACGTGGTTAAAATCTGAAACACGGGGCTCTAAAGTTTGGCCCCTAAATACCTGTTCAGGCATCAGACTAAGTGGACGGTTTTCAGGCTCCTCCTTGCAGGTGGCCTGGAGAATCAGCATGTGCATGAGGGGAGCAGAGGCCCCCCGAAAATCAGAGCATTTATTCTTCATAGACGTGGACCTGAGGGCCAGCCTCACATCAGGCACTCACGTCTGCTGGGGTCGGATCTCGTTGTAGGCCGGGTCCAGCAGAGCCCTGTACCATGTGCGTAGTGAAACTCCAACACTGCGCTTCCAGGGAAGTCAATCGACCTTCCACACGTGTGTAACTGCTTTGCTGAATGGCAGCCTGCACGGGTGTAGACTCAATTCGACAAGGCACTTGACCCTGTGCCCACTTTTCAGCAGGTGTCGTAGCATGAATGGGAGTCGGACGTCTCACCTAATCACGGCTGAAATACCTTGCGGCACGGGGCCTCGGCGAGTTGTCCATTTGTGCTTCCTTCCCCGATCTACACGACATGGATTCGTAACGATCCCATGACAAAACGGCAATCCCCACAACATCTGCTCAGGGTATAGAGGGCTGATAAAGCAGGGATGGGGCAGCATGTGTGTTGCAAAGACTCAGTGTCTTTTCTTTACTAAAATGCCAGCCATGGCTTTGGTTCCATAGCTTTGTCCCCACCCATGGAGTCGGGCTCTTTGTGACCACGAGGTGCGATTGCTGAATCTGACCCGCAGAGTGAAAAAGGTGACACTTGCGTTGGAATTTTTGTGGTGTTGCTTCCTGGTCATATTGAAACTGTACAGCGGCTGGGGGCGGGGGGTATTTTTAGAGCACTTCTTGTTCCTTGTTAGGGATTTGTTCACAGCTCTGGACTCGATGGTCTGAGAGTGAAACCCAGTAGATGTGCAACTCAGTACGCTCTTTGACGACACACGTCTTCTCAGGACGGCTGAAAGTCACCATGGACCCGGCCACCCCGCCTGAGACAGCGCCCTTGTTTGCAGCTCCCATGTCCTCTCAGACAGCCCAGTCTAAGAGCGCTTGGGCACTGAGACCGGATGGTGAGACTCTGCAATTCCAATTGCGCTTTCGCCTTCCTGAGAACTCCCCTGCATTCTCGAGCAATATATTTATACTCCTCCCTGGTCATCTGTCCAAGTTTCCACTTCTTGTCAGCTTCCTTTTTGTGTTTAAGCTCACCATGGATGTCCTCTGTAAGCCAGTCTGTACACCTGCCATATTGCCTTTTCTTGCTGCGCATCGGGATGGTTTCTTCCTCTGCCTTTAATAAGGCTTCTTTAAAATACTGCCAGCTCTCCTGGACTCCTTTCCCCTTCACGTTAGCATCCCAGGGAATCCTGCCCATCAGTTCTCTGAGGGAGTCAAAGTCTGCTCTTCAGAAGCCAGGGTGTGTATTTTGCTTCTCTCCTTTCTTCCTTTGGTCAGGATCCTGAAATCTACCATTTCATGTAGAATAGTGATAGAAATGTAGCCGTGTTAGTCTGGTCTTGCTGAAACAAAAGACAGAACTATGTAGCACTTTAAAGACTAACAAGATGGTTTATTAGATGATGAGCTTTCATGGGCCAGACCCACTTCCTCGGATCAAACAGTGGAAGAAAATTGGCACAACCATATATACCAAAGGATACGATAAAAAAAAACACATATGAAAAGGACAAATCAAATTTCAGAACAGAGGGAGGATGGGAGGGGGGGAGAGAAATGTCTGTGAGCTTTTTCAATTTTCACCATTTTGACAACAATTTTAAGTTATTGGGACAGTGGCTCGGTTTTCTTGGAAGCTCTTGGTTCCCTCCTTATTAATGTAACTCTGTGTAGCGTTTACCTCATATGTCATCATTCATGCTTATGACTAAGGAATAGATGGGAAAATTTGCATATTTGGGGCAATCCATTTGGAGCTCACACTGTCCATCATATTTTATGTTTTGTTTATTTTTATCTTCTATCTGAATCATTTTCATTGATAGCTGAGATTCAGGAACTTTGCACCTGGGGTAGAATATTTAAAGTTTGTATTAAAAGTTGCTTCCACATATATCTAGCACAATTTGAAAAAATGCTGTTTTTCATGTTAATTTTATTTGTAAGGTGTGAGACTTATTCCGCTTTTAATCAAATTTTAAAATCTTTTATTTTGAAACAGCCAATCCACTTTTAGAAGCCTTTGGAAATGCAAAGACCGTTCGCAACAACAATAGCAGTCGATTTGGAAAATTTGTAGAAATCCACTTCAATGAAAAGGTGGGATTACTTTGTAGTTAAGGTACTGGGTCTGGCGGGCGAGGTGGGGCATAGAGGGGACGGTAACGCCTCTCTTTGGGGTACTGGGTCTGGCGGGCGAGGTGGGGAGTGTCCAATAAAATCACTCTGCTGATACCAGAGAGTGAGGAGTAGCAAATCAAGAATGTGAAGAGCACATCAAAGAAAGAGGATAGGGATAAAAGTAGGAATACTGAACAGGGGAAGCTAGTTTTTCTTTCCTGTTGTGCTAAGCACATTCTCCTTGCTTCAAATGCCTCCTTCAAACCCATCTTTTCTAGATAATACATCCTCCCTTCTTATTCCTATTCTTCTGCACTCTTCCTGATTTATCAATCAGAAACACAGTTAATATCACATCTTTAATACTAGAATGAAATATTGACTTTCCACATCAGCTCAAATGTGAATATTTTAAATTAGTAAAAGATCAGTACTGGGTCTGGTGGGCGAGGTGGGGAGTAATGGGGACGGTAACGCCTCTCTTCGGGGTACTGGGTCTGGCGGGCGAAGTGGGGAGTAGCGGGGATGGTAACGCCTCTCTTCGGGGTACTGGGTCTGGCGGGCGAGGTGGGGAGCAGCGGGGACGGTAATGTCTCTCTTCGGGGTACTGGGTCTGGCGGGTGAGGTGGGGAGTAGAGGGGATGGTAATGCCTCTCTTCGGGGTACTGGGTCTGGTGGTCCAATAAAATCACTCTGCTGATACCAGAGAGTGAGGAGTAGCAGGGATGGTAACGCCTCTCTTCGGGGTACTGGGTCTGGCGGGCGAGGTGGGGAATGAAGACATTCTCCAAACACTTCCTGGATTGTCTGTGTACTGCTGTGTTGGTCTCCCAACATACGTCAGGGTGGTTAAAGTCCCCCATGAGAACCAGGGCCTGTGATCTGGAAGCTTCTCTCAGTTGTCTGAAGAAAGCCACGTCTACCTCATCACCTGATCCGGCGTCAATAGCAGACACCAACCACAACATCACCCCTGTTGGTCCCACGTCTGAGCTTAACCCAAAGTCTCTCAACAGGCTTTTCTCCCTCTATACATTGGAGCTCTGAGCAATCATATTGTCTTCTTACGTACAATACCCAGGTCCCACAGCCAGCTGGCTGGCCTGCTCTAGAAGGCCACATGGGACCCCCACTCCCGAGTCCGGTGAGAAGAGGTGCGTCTCAAAGGAAGCAGAGCGCATATCAATGTGCTCAGCCCCGCATCCTGGTCTGAACTTCCTTCTCCTTCCCTTGTCTCCTGCTGGGGACTTCACAGACGTTGGTGAGCTACCAGCCAGCTGGTAGTGGCCAAAGGGACGTGACTGGAGGGCCATCCCCGTTTAATGAGCTCCCATTAGCGCCCTGTCCTGCCCCTGGGCTGTCAGGTGAGAAGGCGTCACAGGGACAGAGAGGCCCACGGTCGCCTGTGGCTTGATAAGGACACAAGCTGCTGGGCACAAGCTGGCGTTCTTACGCTGGGCGTAGGCCGATCCCCCAAGTCCTCACAGGCAGCGAGACGGAATCGAAACCTTCTTTGCCCTCTAACCCCCCGACCCTGCCGCATCGGCGGGGCAATACCGTACCTCCCGCTTGAGTGTGGGGAAGTGCAGAACGGAGCCTTTCCTATGTGAGCGGAGCGTGGCCCTGTCCCTCTCCATGGCCCGCACGTACTCCGCACCAGGCAGGCGAAATCCCATTGACCAGACCAGCATCTGCTTCCCTTCGGTCACTTCGTCCCTCCGCCCAACGCTGCCCAGCGAAGAACAAGGCCTCGGGCTGGCTCTGAGATGCACTTGGCAAACCTGCCTGGTCGCCCGCCGATCTACGGCAAACGGAAGCATCGTCTCCGAAACGCAACCCTGCCTTGTTTGCCAGCAGCTCTTGTGTCCTTATCAATCCACAGGCGACTGTGGGACTCGTCTGTCCCTGTGACGCCTTCTCACCTGTCCAGCTCCTGCGA